GGGCCGGGTCCAGAGGCAGTACTCCTGGGGCCCAAGGAAGGCACCAAGCCTCCAAGTGAAAAGGGTCAGGAAGCAGCACTGGCTCCCCAGGTGTCTGGGGCCCCAAGACTGGGAATGGCACAGGGCCCAAGCTTGGAGTAGAGAACAGTGGGGGAGATGGAAGGGTGAGTGCAGCTGGGGGAGTCAAAGCGTGGAGGGCTGTGCGGTAGACTTACCCCAAGAGAGGCCTGAGGGCAGGAGAGCAATTGCTTTGTTTTTTAATTTTAAAAATATGTGGTGTGTGTGTGTGTGTGTGTGTGTGTGTGTGTGTGTGTGTGTGTTGCTTGGTTCTCTTTGATTCTCCCACCATGGAGGCCCTGGGAGTTGAATTCAGGTCATCAGACTTGGTGACAGGTGCCTTTACCCATGTGTGTGTGTGTGTGTGTGTGTGTGTGTGTGTGTGTGTGTGTTGCTTGGTTCTCTTTGATTCTCCCACCATGGAGGCCCTGGGAGTTGAATTCAGGTCATCAGACTTGGTGACAGGTGCCTTTACCCAGTGAGCCATCACACTGGCCCCAGCTGTTTTTTTTTTTTTTCTTTTTTTTCAGCAATTCTTTACTATTCTGTTTCCCTTATCCTTGAATGAGAAGAACTCTGTCTAGTTTTGATGTTTGGTAAAATGGATGCCCAGGACGCTGAGACCCTATGCTCCTGAGAGAAAGTGCAAGGCTGCATAGAGTCTGTATCCCCAGCACAGTGCTTGGTCTCCATTTCCACGGAGAATGCACTGCTTCTTAGGCTCTTGCATCTGCAGCCCATCCAGTGTTGACGTCACACACTGCCACATGACGTCACCCTGTTTAGTTACTACAGCCCTTTGGAATACTGTGATTTTTCAGTTCCTGAACATATGCGTGTAGCAAAGTGCTTGACTTGGGCTAAGAGGGTGGGATTGGGACAAAGCAATTCATTTTCTAACACACAGTAAGAGGAAGTTGAGAAGAGGTTTGTATGGCATTTAGCTGATAATGTGTTTTTTAGTTCTGAAATGTCTAGGACTATAAGTGATCAAAATATTGTCTCTGGACATTGTCAGTTTTCCATATTACAACTTGAGTCATACATACATCATTATTAACTTGCTGAGAAGTTGGGGGAAGTCACATCAGAAATGCCTTCAGGTGTGATAATCAAATCCAGATGAGACATTTCCTTAAGCTTTGTAAGATGAGGTGATGTGAACCTTTTGCTTTTATGGGACTCTTTTATTGTTTCTCCATCATACTGATGAAAGCTTTTTCTAGCTCCCTTTACAGATTCTGAGCTGTATCTTCATTTTATTAAAGTAAAACATCTTTATTCTATTAAAATAGCTCATTTTTTTTCAGAGAGGGAAATGGAAGCTTAAGTGATTTGCCAAAGTCTCACAATTGATTTTTGATAGAACCCATATTCAAACCCCATACAATACTCTGTTTCCTGTGTGTCTTGAGAATTTGGAGAACCAAACATTGAAAGCAAGTAGTTACATGGAACTCCTGACCTGTGTTATGAAAACTTTCATATTTTATTTTAAATATTTTATTTAAAATATTAAAAATATTTTATTATTTTTGTTTTATGTGTATGAGTGTATTGCCTGCATGTGTGTAAGTGCACTTGTGTCGTGCAATGTCCACAGAGGTCCTGTGGAACTGGAGTTACGGATAGTTGTTAGACACCATGTGGGTGGTGGGAACTGAACCTGGGTCCTCTCCAAGAGTAACCAGTGTTCTCAACCATCGAGCCATCTCTCCAGCCCCCATATTTTGTTTTTATTATATCTAAAAGTGATGTGCTTTTATCTTTGAGATGGAAGCTCCTGGATTTACCCTGGGTGCCTTCATGTTTGCCTTGTTCGCTTGTTCTGTGGTTGGTTATCCTGATGGAAGAGTAACAAAGTCATGTGGTGAGATGATCCCCCAGCATGGCCACAGCCCACAGTCAGAGCCTGTTCACAGCATCACAGTGAGTCAGATGAAGTTCAGACTGGGAGACCAGATTGAAGGTACTGGTGCTGAGAATAATGATTTGTGTTTTGAGCTGGACACTTTTACTGCTTGCTGAATTTTTATTATAACTGGAATTGAACAATTTCCTTTGAATCTATTTGCTTGTTTTGTACTATATCATCACTGTATACTCGCAGTTTTTGTTTACTATAGATGACCATGTTATGTAAATGGAATATCTGCTCCCTATTAAGAACAAGTTCTGAACTAAGTTTTAAGCATTCCAATGCATATATTTGTTAGTATTATGACATTAACTTTTTTTTTTTTTTGAGACAGGGCCTCACTGTATAGCCCTGGCTGGCCTGGAACTCTTTATGTAGACCAGGCTGGCCTCAAACTCACAGAAATCCACCTGCCTCTGCCTCCCAAGTGTTAGGATTAAAGGTATGCACCACCACACCTGGCTTGACATTAACATTTTTAAAAATTATTTATTTAATAACCACATAATTAGAAGAAGCATTTCATTACAACAGCATTGACATACTCAATAATAATTTCCAAAGCTAAGATGAATCTCTTTCAAAGTTGGCTATAAATTTTTAGGTTTACAGTTGAATTAATATAGTTATACAATATTGTACTCAGTATAAACCATATGACATAAAATTGAATGAGGTTTTAACCTTTAAAAAAGATCTCCATTTCATTATTAAAATACACAGTTTCATACAGAAAAGTTCATTTTTAATGCAATTAACACTTAGATGTTTGCACATGCATTTCTTTCTTTTTTTCTTTTTTTTTGTCTTTTTAAAGCAGGGTCTCTCTGTGGCCCCAGCTGTCCCAGAACTCACTATGTAGACCAGGTTGGCCTTGAACTCAGAGATCTGCCTGCCTCAGCCTCCCAAGTTCTGGGACTACAGGGGTGCGCCACCACGCCCAGCTTTGCACATGCATTTCTAATCTCTCTATATTTGATTATTATTAGTCACAGTTGGTTACTTTCTGAGCTCCTTGGCACCTGAGCATGGATTTATATCAGGTAGATATCAATGATAATGTTTTTCACATCTACTAATTAATAAGGAGCAAATTTTTATGCTTTGGAGAATTATTACTTTTTTAATTAAAATTTTTAAAAATTTAATAACCACATGATTAGAAGTCTTTCATTACAGGTTTAACATATTCAGTAGACATTAACATTTTAGTTTACTATATATTGAATACTATTAGCTCGGTGGAACAGGAAAGTAAGTTTATTTTATCCTGCTTATCTTTCCCCTCCTTAATAAAATAGTGTAATCTCGTTTCTCTGATTCTTCTGGTGAAATACAGGCTGACCGTTAAAGTTTAGCTGTAGCCAAATGTTGTGGTACATGCCTGTAATCCCTGCACATTGGAGGCTGATGAAGGATTAGACATTTAAGGCCAGCTTGGACCATATAGAAAGATCCTGTCTCAGAAAAACAAAACCAAAAATATATCTGTAATGTTTCTTTGAAGTTTCTATATTTTGCAACTCTAGAAATGCAAAATGTTAATAGGACAAAAAGAATGAATGAAGAAATAAAACTGGGATACTTTGTGAACTATAGATATCTCTTAGAATTTCACTCTGCATCGTAGATTATTAAATACTGTGGGATTTGCAATCAAGAAACAAGTTTTCTGTCATATATGTTAAGGCCTATGAAGTCAAGTTTGTGTCACCAGATGACCCTCAGTGTGAGTTCATACACTAGAGCCTAGTCAGCCTGTCTCGTGTCTCTCCTTTAAAGAAGACCAACTGCCCCTCACCCAGCAGTGATCAGCTACAAACTTGACTGGAAAGGCCTTAAGTTAAATATACGACAGAATGCATGAAATCTGGTGGCAGGAGCTATGGGGCAGGTGCAGATAGGGAAGGGGGTTTAAATATGATTAAGATGTATTGTATTAAATGCACAAAAATTCAATAAAAATATATACTGTTAAAAAACAAAGTTTTTTTTACATTCATTTAGAATTTTCTAAATTTATTTTCCTCTATGCTTTTACTCCCTTGTGGAATGGCTATTGATATCTCAGGCAGTCAGTAAGCTGAGACAGGATGACCATAAGTTCAAGGTCAGCCTAAGTAACTTAGTGAAACCTTGTTTCAAAATAAAAAGTAAAGAGGGTTGGGGATGAGGTTTAGTGGTACTCCCTTACCATGTGCAAAGCCCTAGGTTCAGTAGCCAGTGTTGTGAAACAAAGAAACAAACTACCTACCACCCACCCCCAACAAACCCAAAACACACCTTATGGAGCACAAATCCAGTGGAACATAATTTAGACATCTGTTTAAAAAGATGATTTCTATCATGTAGTTTGGTAGAAATACACTCAATTCTAACTTGATGGGTCTCCTCTAAACACTCCTTTTTGGCTATTACTGAATCTTACAGCTTCTCTTTTTATCTGTTTCTCAGTTACTTTGTCAGGACCAAAATTTAAAGGCTTCCTCTTAGAAGCACGTAATGCTGAGGATTTGCATGGTCCTCCTGTTGGCTCCTTCACACTGATTGACAGTGAAGTGTCACAACTTCTGACTTGTGAAGATGTACAGGTTTGTGTTCAGCTTGAGATTGCTCTCTGTCAGTTTCCTCAGGCTGTCTTTACTGTGGCGTGGTGACTGCACGATCAGTGGTGACATCACCATGTACTGTAGACTTCCTTAAGCAGTCATCAAGTGTTTGTGCCAATTTACACAGCAGTATCCTAGGACATGGTATAATAGCTTGAAGGGTTTACTTTGTCATGCTTTTTATTACATTGGCTCATATACTGATTTCTAAGTGATTTCAGTATTGAAGACATGTAGTTCTAGAGTGGAGCAGGGCTTTAAATTTTGTCATTCAATCAACAAACATTTATTATACCAGGAACTTTGATATGTGCAAGAAATAGGGTAATGAATAAGAATTACTCCTTTTTCTTGATGAGCTCAAACTCATACAAGTGAAACCCATGGACACAGGGTAGATGGCACAAAAGTGTGATGTGTACTTAGGACAGACACTTAAGTAGAAGAGTATGAAAACGTAGGTTAGTGTGCACAGGACTAGGGGGGATGCAGCAGAGGGAGCCATGGAGAAGCTGGATTATAACAGAGAGAGCTGCTGCTTCCCTTGTTTGTGTTTGTTTGTTTGTTTTTGAGACAGGGTCTCCAGGTAGCCCAAGCTGGTCTGGAACTTGCTATGTAGACCAGGGTGACCTCCATTGCACAGAGATCCACTTGCCTCTGCCTTTCCAGTGCTGGGATTAAAGGTATGTGTCACCGTGTCCCATGAGAGAGAGCTTCTTGGAGCAGGTTACTTCTAAACTAAAGAATGTATAGGAGTTTACCAGGTGAAAGAAAGTGGGAAACAGGAATAGTCAAAAGACAGGAATTACTAAAATAGGCTACATATTTGGAAGCAGTTAGGTTTTTTTTTCTTTTCTTTTGAGGAATCATCTGCATTTTGCTCGTATCTATTAATGGAAGGGATATAAATCTATAGTATAAATAAAACAACGAGCAACCTCTAAATGGTATTAATTGACCCAATATTCATGGCTTCCTTCAATACTTAAATTCCTGATGAATAATTTATCATAGAGCTAACCACTGATATATTGTGAACCAATGGATGTGAGTTTATCGATCACTCGAGTCCTTGTTCTAGGTAGAATAGCCTTCACCAGAATGTTATGATCAAGTAATGATGAATTACTTTGCAATGATTGCAGTTCTGACCATGCTGAGCTATTGGGTGGTTGGATGGTAATTCCTTTCCATTTTGTTTCAGGGGTTAGCTGTGAGTCATACAAGTTCATCCAAGAAGACAGAAATTAAAGTCTACTGGAATGCTCCAAGCAGTGCCCCAAATCACGTACAGTTTCTGTGAGTGTAAGAGTGTCTGCCTCTGTAACTAATACCATTGAAACTGAAACCATAATGAATTGTACCACTTACTGTGCCACTGGACATTCACCTGTGTAGAGTTTCTGTAACTTTGTCTTGCTTTTTATTGTTGGTATTATTTAGACAGGGTTTTGCTATGTAGCGATGGCAGGACAGAAATTCTCTGTGTAGACAAGGCTGACTTCTAATTTACAGCAATCCTTCTGCTTCTGACTCCAAAATGCTGGGATTACAGGCATGAGCCACCATGTCTAGCTTTATTTCCTCCTTCTATGATAGTATATATCCAGCACCTAGCCCAGGCAGGACTTTGTGCTGTACTTTAACCTGGGACTTATAATCTTCCTGATTTTGCTGAGTAAATAAAGTATTACACTATAGTATTTATAAGAGCCATCACTTTATTCTCTAGTATATGATTTACTAGTAATACTTTCTAAGATATTCTTGTTTTGGTATGAAAATACAAATAAGACTGTGGGTCTCTCCCTCCCCTCGTGGGCCATGGGCCACCAACCCACGAGAACAAAGGGAGCAGAAGCCACAAACGGGGTCAGGACGGCCAGTGAGCACGGACATACAAAACCTTCTGGGGAGTCATGTTCAGTGATACAGCTCCATTTATTCAGTGGGGGTCAGGGAAAAATATAGTGTGGAGGCAACAGCCAAAGCTTCAGCTGATAGATGTTCATAGTATGCTTTATTTACATGTGGTAGGGGGACCCTATCATCTGGCTATAGGGAAATGCCTAATTATCATATAGAAAAAAAACTGGGGGTAGTTTTATTGCAGGTAACTATGCCAAAGGTCATGTTCCAAATAAGGTCAGGCATCTGTGTTTGGAGGCACTTTCCAGATAAGTCAGGCAGAGGACAAGAGGCCCCCCGTTGAGAAAGGGAGCCCTTCCATATAGCGCCGAGCTCCTTAGAGCTATCTGGACATGGTGGACTGCAACCTTAGCAGCAGGGTCCCTCAACATAAGACAGTTCTGAAATTTAGCTGACCTTTTGGAGGGCAGCATTACAATTTGCAGGTTAGATTATCAGAAACATAAACCACCACATGCCTCTTGGAATTATGAAACTCATAATTATAATAGTACCTCTTTCTTATTCATCTGCACAATGTGGAATGGAATGCTGTAAAGCCATGCAATGATTATTGAGTGGTGTTGTAGACATGCTAAACCATCTTATCTATCTATCTATCTACCTATCATCTATCTACCTATCTATCATCTATCATCTACCTATCATCTATCATCCATCCATCCATCATCTATCCTATCTATCTATCTATCTATCTATCTATCTATCTATCTATCTCATCTATGTATATCTACGAATATCTGTCTATATATCTCTATATATTCTTACAGGAAAGGTTGCTATTCTGATGTTTTCTGCTTAACTTTGTCCATACTTCTCTGGTACACTATAGCGTAGTTTTGCACCTGTGCATCAGTTGCAAAGGTGGCCCTCAGCACGTGCTGACCACCACTTCAGTAGTCTGTCAAGCTTCATGTGGTAGCTGCCTGTTATACATGCCCTTTCGAGGGTGCACTTAGTACATTGTGAAATATGTTGTAGCATACTGTTTTTGTGTCAGGTTGTTGAAACCCATATAGTTTGGTTGCTCAGTCTGGCATCTGTGGCTGATGTTAATATGTCCAAAGAACAAACTACTAGTAGGAAAAGAAAGACAGAAGGAGTGATAATAATTAAAGTTCACCTAGGGATGGGACGAAAGAGTCATTAGAGATTTGCCTCCCACAAGTTGTGCTTTCCTAGTTCATCTCCCCCGCCCCACACCCACACCCTTTTACCTTTAAAGTTTTGATTTGATTAGGATGGGCCCTTTGGAGTTCTGTCTAATCTCACTGGTATTGCATTTCAGAGCCACAGTGGTTGAGAAGTATAAAATCTACTGGGTGAAGATCCCTAGTCCTGTCATTTCCCAACAAAATGCACATCCTTTTACGACACCTAAAGCTACAACGGCATCTTTGTCAACATCGCTTCCAGTCTCCCACCTAAGTAAGCCGGTGAGTAACATCCTGGTATTTTCACTAAATGGAATCTAAAATAATAGATAGCTTAGAAACTGATTCTGTGCTTAGTAAGAAGTAGTTATACTGGGTTTTGGCAGGAAGTTTTGGGGTTCTGTAGGACTTTGAAGGAAGCCTTCATCACAACATTATTATCATTAATTATTGTCTTTTTAAAAAAATATTTTATTATTTTTATTTTATGTGTATGAGTGTATTGCCTGCATGTATGTGAGTACACCCGTGTCATGCGATTCTGCAGATGTCAGAAGAGGGCTTTGGATTCCTCTGGACCTGGAGTTAAGGACAGTTCGTAGCCACCATGTGGGTGCTGGGAATCGAACCCGGGTCCTCTGCAAGAGCAGTCAGTGCTCTTAACCCCTGAGCCATCTTTCCAGCCCCTAATTATTGTCTTTTTGAGACAGGGTTTCCCTGTAGTTCCAGCTGACCTGGATCTTGCTATGTAGACCAGGCTGCCTCTGCCTCCCAGTGCTGGGATTAAAGGCATGCCCCACCATGCCTGACTCTTCATCACATTATGATTTATAAAAGACTCTAGACATTGAAAGTGTAGTTGTAACAATCACAGGAAATTTAGGCTAGTGAAGTGTACTTTCTTTGAAAATTAATTGAAGGAAGCTTTCCCTTCCCTTCCTCTCCCTCCTTTCCCTTTCTTCCTGTCAAATAGTACACATGGTGAAAGAATTTTAGCTAACTTTGGATAAGATTTGATGGAGAGTCTTGAAGTGGTAATAAACACAGATGTTACTTCATTAAGGGCAGAGTATTGGGGAATTTGGTTGGGTATATGGCATATGCCTACAATCCCAGCACTTAGGAGGCAGAGGCTGGAGTAGTACTGCAAATTTGGGGCCAGCCTGATCTACATAGTGAGTTCTAGGTCAGCCAGAACTGTATATATTAAGACTTTTTCAACTCTCCTCCCCATGGCCAAAAAAAGGAATCCAAGGCCAGCCTGAGCTATGTAGGAAGTTTGAGGACAACCTGAGCTATATG